TGAGATTTGTAACTAGATCTTTAGATTTTGCCTGATAAGGGTTGTCGGTTGTGAATAAAACGTAAGAGAAGAACGGTCACTCCCCATAGAAAAAAAAACCCAGATTCTACAGACATTTCTCAGTTTAATTCCTATAGAGTTAAATTATATATTTTTGATATTCGAAATCAATGGCTGATACCAAAATATTGCCTTGTTTTTGTTCAGGCGTTACACTAAAAAATACAAAATGCCTATTTATCTACTAACTAAATGACGATACAATAGCTATTGGATGTATGTAGGTGACTTGAAGATGCAGCTGGATTATATAATTTTTGAACTCCTAGTGCAACAATCAACTTTATCGTCGTATTCGATGATTCATTGCAGATCAGAGATTTAGATACCTATCATTGGGGTGTCATGATCTTTAACAAAAAATAAAATAAAACCAATATATCGAAATAAAGTTTTATTGAATTTCTATGTTCCTTAAAACATAATCCATACCCAGTGCGGGGTGGTCAAAGTGATCTCGATGTCTAGCCCATCCTAAGTATTATGGCACATTTACACAGGGTCAGTAGCTGTCGTCAGTGCTGGCGTCGAAAACTGACTCTTACTATTTACAAGCAGTCAGTATTTCGTCAGTAGTCGAGTATATTTCTTTTGGTGTACACACGTTCGAGAAAAATGAATTCTCGAAAACAGCAAAAAATCAAAGTTAATAATTTGTTGAGAAAATTTACCTTTGTGATGATGCAAGAACTAACTGGTACGTTAGAAGAAGAGATATCTAAACAGAAACGAATTTGGGTAAGAAAATGGATAGATGACAGAGATAAAACTGGAGGTTCTGCTCTTGTTAACCCAGTTGAGAATGGAAGATCCTGGGGAATACAAACTGGCTGTGAGAATGACGCCAAAAAACTTTGACGATTTGCTTATGTTGCTATAAAGCTCTATTCAGCGTCAAGACACATTTATGAGAGACGCCTTGCCAGCCAAAGTGAAACTCGAAATTACGCTGACATTTTTGGCTTCTGGAATGTCGTTTCGGAATCTCAGTCACTTTTATCGTGTATCGATACCATCTATTTCTAATTTAATACCGGAAGTGTATTGGGCAATATATGAGTCATAGAAAACACAGATTAAGGTAAGAAAATTATTTATTGAAAAAATACTTATAGTAGGTTATCAAAAAAATTACAATCACATATAAATCATAATAATCTAGACAAAAGTAGGTACTAAGCTGAATCAAAAGCATACTTAATAACATCAGTTACACTGTTACTTTCACATTCTAACATTATCGTTATTAAGAGCTGTATTAGGGGCGGTACGGGTGATCACCTGGCTAGGATCTACATATCTTGGACTTTGAGTTGGCAATGAAAAATAACATCCCAAAAAGCTGCTACTGGGGACAGCTATCTGTGTAAACTGGGTGGGATAAAATCCCAAAGAACTTTTGCTTGAGGCAGTCATCTGAGTTACATCGGGGGGATAAAATCCTAAGGAACTATTGCTGCCGCTGTTTGTCGTTGAAGCTGGACTAGGAGTGTAACGGTTCTGCTGAGGTTGTGTATGAGTAGTAGAACTCAAAGAAAAGTGAGTATTTGGGTAAATATTCACGTTTCGTCTTCCCTTTTCTATATCTGCCAGTCTACATTTGGATAATGTTTGTATTTCTTCCTGTGCAATTAATTGTTCCTCAGAGAGTTTTTTTTTAACTGAGAAGCCACATGCTTTCCGTAAATATCACAATCACTTTCTTCGTCTGATGGCATATTGATACTATGTGATACATTTTTTATGTCTTTTATCATTTCCGACATCTGAGACAGTTTGCTACGTTTTGACCTTGGTCTTGTCGGTTGATTGGAGTTTTGTGTGATCGGCCCGGATTCTGAAGCTGGTGAATTCGCAGTGTTATTATTTTCTGCGTTAAATCTTATCTCATCTTCATCATCATCACCAGAAACAGGAATATTGTTGGGAGTGTCCGAATTATCCTGAAAATAAGTAATTAGTTATAATAACGAGTACCTAAATCGATTTAAAAATATGAAATACCCTACTAGGCGTAAATTATTAGTATAACTACCGTAACGTATAGCTAATTACATACATACAAACCTTATACCTACAATCCTACCTACATCATACATACGACCCGTATGGCGCAGCGGTAGTGAGACTGCCTTACATTCTTAGGGTCCCTTGTTCGAATCCCTAAAAAACCGAGTCAGGTTTATATGTATATAAGTATATTTACAAACAAAAAGTATCTATGTAGTATATCAACTAACTGGTGTCCACGACACAAGCCTCCTTGCCTAGTGTGGCACTAGATGGCGCTGTGTGTAATAATGTCCAGCGATATTTATTTGTTTATACCTACCTACACACACATCTATACTAATAATAATAATAATATATTTGATTGTTTATTGTTTGTTTAATACATTTTTATTATTTTTCCTTTGCAGATTCCAGATGGAGAGGATGAATGGAAAATTATCGAAGACGGATTTAATACCAGATGGAACTTCCCCTCGTGTTACGGAACAATTGATGGAAAGCATGTCATTATCAAAGCGCCACCAAATAGTGGAAGTGAATTTTACAACTATGAAAAAACCAATAGCATTGTTTTGATGGCTATTGCGGACCATAACTACTGTTCTTCATACATCGATGTTGGTGCGAATGGCAGCGCTTCTGACGGGGGAGTCTTTAAAAAAATCGTCAATTTATCGCCGTTTAGAAGATGGATTACTGCCAGTGGATGGAATCATTGTTGGCGATGCAGCTTTTCCGTTAAAGTCTTATTTACTCAAACCGTATCCAGGTTCACAACTGTCTACTAGTGAAAAAATCTTCAATTACAGACTCGACATCTCGTGCGAGGCGTATAGTGGAAAATGCTTTTGGAATTCTAGTTTCTAGATTCCGTGTGTTCGAAAAAGCAATTTCCACCAGTTTGAACACAAATGATGCAATCGTACGTGCATCCTGTGTCCTTCATAAATAGTTGCGAAAAAAAAAACTGACTCCTACATAACACCTACTTGTGTAGACAGAGAAGACTATGAAGGACAAATAATACCAGGTACTTGGAGATCGGAAATAACTCCATTAAGGGGATAGAGTAAGTCAGCTCAAATTCTAATTTCGTCCCCACTTGCCGACCGATGCTATGTGCCGACATGTTTGTAATCACTAATACTGTAAGTAGAAAGGTCGTTAGACACTTATTTCATTAGGTTTATTATATTTATGCCTGTTTCTTAACGCCAAGCCAGTCGTTTCTTATTTTTATTACGGTTATTTACCATTTTAATTTTACGTCGTCCTGTTCCGTAATGTATATACTGATCGTAAGCGACACAACCTCCCCGTTCAAAGGCCGAAGCGAAGTGACCGTGTGGCAGGAATCACGCTTCAAAAGGCCGATAGTTTAGGTAATTTCGTTTTACAGTGAAAATAATGGTATTTAAAAAAAAGTAAATAACATAAGCACTGCTTTATAGTTAGTTCAGTTAGTATGCAAAGTTTCATGATCTTATTTAAAGTATTTTATGAATAACAGCGGTTTATTGTTTATTTTGGAGGTAACTTTGGATTTTTTTTCTATCGACAGAATTTTACGGAATCGTGTTTTCGTCTAACATAATCCTCAACTTTACCATATATTTATTTCAAAATTAATGCTGCAATATTTTCGGCGTAACGAAGGATCTTGCTAAGCCATTTGAGATTATATTTCCCCTTAATAAGTATAACTGATCAACTTAGAGGTATCCATTCCGTAAATGCCAAAGAGAGAAGAGATTTATTGAAAAATTACTTTATGACGAATTGAAGTGTACCGTGGCAGTTTATCAGAATTTCTTAAATTATATTTGTTTTATTTTAATACTACAAATGAATGAATATTGTGGGTACTTACTTTTGTTTTCCTTTGTATAGATACATTTCTTATAAAACCGTCCATTTCTTCGAACCATTTCACCTTTAGAGTATAGACATTTCCACCAGCGCCTGGTTTTGAGGAGCTTTTAATTTTTGTTTTTGACCTCGTAGGTCGTAGGGCCAAACCCTTCTAAATTTATTTCTCGTGCAATATTCTGTAATGCTGTTGCACGCATTTCTTTATTTCTATAATTTCCTGATTTGTTATCCCACAGGCATTAATTATCGCGGTATAGTTCAATGAGCTTTAAGTTTTCCCTCTCGCTCAGTTTTCGCGTCATTTTGTGATACGGTCTGACGCAGCGTGGTCCCCGTATAATTGAGCGGCAGCGACTGAACTTCGGAATTTACACGGCGTCAGTTGCGCTGGCGCGGGTGGCGGGGGGAGCGGACTGACGCCAAAAATATGAAGCGGGAATAAAAAGAAAAGGAGCACAGAAATGAAATTTATTTATAAGGATGACCTTTTTGAGAATTTCGAATTGATTTTACCGAACTGGTCGATCCTTGACGTCAAGAAACCTGGTAATAAGAGACACCCCGTTCATAGTAAGTGATATACGGAGATGGAAAAGTAAATAGGAAGAGAAAAAGGAAAATAAAAATCAACAAACAATAAAATGAGCAATGATGGTTTGAGAGGATGACATTAAGACTTGACATTACTTATACACTCTGCGATCAAAATCATGATACGAGTAGAGTTGCAATGAGAGTTCCTAATTTTAATGAGTTTTAATTTCTATTGAATAAAATTCTTCACATATTTTATTTATACTCTAGTTCTCCAGTACTTTAAAACACACAGCTGATCGCCGTATTATTATGTTTTTTTTTTGCTTTTGCTAAAATACGCTACTTGCTTACGCTAATTATGAATTGAAATGTATTTATTGGTGGAATAATGTAATCCTCGACATGTTTTTAATTTTAAAGTTAAAAATGCGTTTATTTGATTTATTTACTAACATATTAGCTGAACCTGTTTAAAGTTCATTTGTAAGTCTAACTGTTGAATAAGAATTAGTCGCAAAATGGAAGTTATAGAAGAAACACCTGAATTAAACGCATCTATTGATCAAGTAAAAAACAATATTGTCATCGAAGAAACTGTAGAGTACATGGGACAGAATGTTGTTCACAAATGGAACGGTGTCGTCAATATTCGTGAATCAAGAGCAGCTGAAAAGACAATGTAATAACAGAAATGGTAATTACACAAGAAAGCGTCGAATTGATAGAATAAAATAATGAAGTAACTTTTGAAACAAGGCAGAAAATAGCGGCCGTCCAAGGTCTTGGCACATTAGCTATAAATGAAAACATTTCTAGCCAATCTGATCATAAAACGGAAAAAGGGACGGATCAAACAAAAGAACCGAATACGGAAATCACAGTCAAAGACTTGGATAAAAAGTCTACTGTGAAATTGAAATTCAGGTAACTAATTCTGTTATAGAAGTTTCTAATACACAATCATCATCAGTTGAAGTTAATAACAAAGAAACATCGGAACTACAATTAAGTAACAAAATAGCAGTTCAAATAAACCATACAGATTTATCCTATAAATATAAAAGCAGGTTTAAGACTGAAATACTAGTTGAAAAAATAATCATGATATTAATGAAAATGACTTAAATGAGACAAATTCTTATGAATATGCTACTAATAATACTTTGAGTGGATTGGGGCAAAGTATAGAACTAAGTGAAGCCTTAAGATCATCTGATGTCAACGATCATGTGGAAGGTAACAATTGTACTGGGCTGCAAGAAGTCTTTAAAAAAGAGGAACTGCTATATATTTTGCGAGGAAAGAATGTAGAATCTACTGACAAAGAAGTAGTTGAATAAATGGACATAATAGAAGCACAGTTAACTTTACAACAACTCACAAGACTGAAAAAATAAAAAGAAAAGGAGGACAAAAATGGAATTTATTTATAAGGATGACCTTTTTGGGAATTTCAAATTGATTTTCCCGAACTGGTCGATCCTTGACGTCAAAAAACCTTGTAATAAGAGACACGCCGTTCATAGTAAGTGATATACGGAGATGGAAAAGTAAATGGGAAGAGAAAAAGGAAAATAAAAATCAACAAACAATAAAATGAGCAATGATGGTTTGAAAGCATAACATTAAAGACTTGACATTACTTATACACTCTGCGATCAAAATCATGATAGAACGCGACAGTACTGTACTGACATGTACTCAATTTACACGATGGCAGTGCCAGGTCAGCACTGACTCGGCAGTGGACTGACGGCAGTTACTGACTCAATGTAAAATTGCCTTAATGACGTGTGAGCGACTTCCCAATGTCCTTATACCATGGTAGCACGAGCAGCGATATTCCATTTTTGCGTTTATTCCATTTATATTCTCATCAAACATAATATAAGTATAGTACTTTATTGACGTAACGTGTCGTGAATGAATTCTGCACCTAATCAAAGTATTGTTGTTTCTGCCCTCGTCTGCTGCTGGATGTCTATATATTTCCATATTATATACTCCCGTGGTTTTCAAATGCTCACTGCAGTACGACCGTGCTAATCTCACGTGATAGGTGTCAATTGAGAACTTAATTAAGTCTACAATTGTTGTGGAAAATGTTCAATTTCTGAATCATTTCCAGTCATCCTGTGAAACGTTACTCTTTGTCGGTTTAGATTGTTCTCCTCCACATACTCGGCCAGTCGATTAGGGCGTTGTGTATTTCGTTTAATTATTTCCATTGAGTTATATGTACTACGCACTAGAGAACCTACTCCAAACAAAAAATGTGCGCTACTCTGTATTCGTGCATGCGCGTGAAAAAGTAGAGTCGCGAATATTGTTATAATAAATGTTTACTTAGATTATATTGTTAATCGAGTACATTTTTTTTAATTTTCGTTTATTTTGCATATGTGCTAATTTAATATAAAATTATTATTAGCGCCGTTCCGCACTGTATGAATATCGAAGGCACAATAACAGGTGTACGGATTGCAGTACAGTTCAGTTGAACATAGTGAGTGTTCGGAATGCGAAATCTAGTGCGTACATATATATCGATGATTATTTCAATTAAACCTTCTGTATATGGACTGTCTTCATACGGATCTTAAAAATAATCAATCAAAGCTGCAGCAGTTCTAAAATCTTTAAACATATGCGACACATGTTTGTTGAATACTGTTTCTGGAGACCTTGAAGACGTGCTTGAATCTGCCGTTTGTATTTTTGATGACCCTTCGCACCATTGTAATAAGTCTCGATTTATTAGCTTGGTCGGTGCTTAATTGCGCGTCTTCTCTTCGTTTTCTCGGCGGCATATGAACATCATACCCATATGTTTCTAATAAGGGAATTGAATCCCGAAAGCCTCGGTCTAAATAAATACTTTAATGATAAATACTTGTTGTCTCCTTGATTTAAAAAAAATGGTCTTTAATGGGTGCATCATGGTATTCCAATATCATCTTCATTAGGTCAGCATTGGTTGTACGTGCAGAGTACGGACCTGTTACGTCCAAAATATATCCATCCGCACACATGATCTTGAAAGGTTTTATTAGGTTTTTGTACTTATGAAGGCTATAAGTGCGGCGTTGAAATAAAAAGTTAGGACTTTTTTCTATGTAGATATAAGTTGTTGGTTTCGGTGACTTTTCGTTAACAAAAAAAAAATTGGTATGGCCCGGTTGCGGGCTATCACTTCGTCCATGGTTATACAACATGTAACAAAAACCCTGTGGTTCTCGTTAACTGTGTTATCAGAATCAGTATCCAAGCATATGGAAATATTTTTTTTTTTCAAAAAAAAACGCATTTAAAAAAAATAATTTTAATGAAAAATTTTTTTAATTCGCAAATTTTATGCGGTTTTATTATCTCTGCATTGGCCGAGGAGTAAGAGGATTGTTAAAGATCCCGCATCACCGATACTCGTGTGAGTTAAGAGGAAATAAAACCACATACTATTTGCAAATTAATTTTTTTTCATTAAATATTTTTTTTAAATGCGTTCTTTTGAAAAAAAAAATTATTTACATATGCTTGGATACTGATTCTGATAACACACTTAACGGGAACCACATGGTTTTTCTTACATATTGTATAGGGGAAGTTTTTTTTTTTTTTTTTTTTTTTTTTATAGAAGAGGGGGCAAACGAGCATGAGGCTCACCTGATGTTAAGTGACTACCGCCGCCCATGATCAACCGCAACACCAGGGGGAATTGCAGGTGCGTTGCCGGCCCTTTAGAAAGGAGTAAGCTCTTTTCTTGAAGGTCCCCAGGTCGTATCGGTCCGGAAAAATCACCGGTGGTAAATTATTCCACAGAGAGGTTGTACGCGGAAGAAAACTCCTTTTGAAACGTACAGTGGTGGACCGCCAAGCATCCAGATGGTGTGGATGGTATCGGGACGTTTGCCGTGTAGTGCGTTCACGAAATTTGGCGGCTGGGATTAATCCGAACAATTCCTCAGAGCACTCCCCGTGATAAATGCGATAAAATACGCAAAGAGATGCAACATCTCTTCGCAGCGCCAGTGAATCGAGCCGATCGGAAAGCACTCGGTCGTCGACGATTCGAGCCGCTCTGCGCTGGATGCGGTCAAGTGGAAGGAGCTGGTACTGGGGAGCCCCAGCCCAGAGATGGGAACAGTATTCCATGAGCGGCCGAACCTGCGCCTTGTAAAGTTGCAGGCGGTGTGCCGGCATGAAATACTGTCCCGCTCTGCTGAGCACGCCAAGCTTTTTTAGAGGCCAATTTGGCCTTCCCTTCCAAGTGACCACGAAACTGCACGTCACTCGATATGTCGACGCCGAGGATTCCGATACTGGCTGAGGCAACAAGGGGAGTGCCTTGAAACTGAGGGGATACGACAAAGGGGTTCTTTTTAGCGGTTAACGCGCAAACTTGTGTCTTCTGGGGGTTAAACTGGACTAGATTTAGTCGCCCCCAATCCGAGACTGTCCAGCAGAGACTCGACTTCAGACACAAGTTTGTCCCGGCACTCAGAGACGTTTTCCCGAGAAATATTTGCTCGGCCGGTGTAAAGAGCATCACCAGTGCTGTCATCTGCATAGCAATGAATGCTACGGGTTTGCAACATATCATTGATATGCAGAAGAAACAGCGTTGGCGATAGCACGCAGCCCTGAGGAACACCAGCATTAATAAGCTTGCAATCGGAGCTTGCACCGTCTACAACGACCTTGATGCTCCGATCTGCAAGAAAACTGGTGATCCAATCGCACAATTTCTCGGGAAGCCCATAGGAAGGGAGCTTCGAAAGAAGCGCTTTGTGCCAAACCCGATCGAAGGCCTTCGCAATGTCCAAACTAACGGCCAATGCCTCCCCCTTGGACTCTACTGCCTCCGCCCATCTGTGAGTTAGGTAGACCAGAAGATCACCAGCTGACCTACCACGGCGAAAACCGTATTGGCGGTCACTAATCAGCTGGTGATCCTCAAGGTACCTCATGAGCTGGCAGTTTACAATGGACTCCATTGTTTTGGAGAACAAGGAGGTGATGGCGATAGGCCGGTAGTTGGACGGGTCTGAGCGGTCGCCTTTTTTAGGGATCGGGTGGACGAAAGCCGTCTTCCATGATTTTGGGACTACGCCTAGGGAGTAGGAGTACCGGAAAAGACGCGTTAAAACCGGTGCCAACTCTGGAGCACACGTCCTCAGCACAATTGGGGGGGATTCCATCAGGCCCACTCGACTTATGGATGTCCAGGAAGAGGAGTGCTTTGCGAACCGAGCGCTGAGTGAAGTGCACTTCCGGCATGGAGCACTCACACCGCGGGATGGTCGGCGGCGTACTCCCCCCGTCATCGAGAGTCGAGTTAGACGCAAAGAAAGAGCCTAGAAGATCGGCTTTCTCCTTTGCGGTGTGGGCCAGTGAGTCGTCCTCCCTGTGCAGAGATGGAAGAGATGGCTGACAGAAATTCCCCTGGACAGCCTTGGCGAGAGACCAGAATGCACGGGTTCCAGAAGGAAGACGAACTAGTCTCTCGCCAATTCTGCCTATGTGCTCTGACTTTGCCTTGGCAATGACTCTTTTGAAGGACCTAGAGGCGGAATTATACTTCTTTTTTAGAGCGCTGGTGTTTACATCCCTGGACGCTGATGCGTCAGCCCAGGCTTGGTAGCACTCCTGCTTATAGCATGATGCTATTTTACAGGAGCGACCAAACCATGGCTGAGATTTGCCTCCAATGGGCACCACAGAGGAAGGAATAAAAAGTTCCATACCCTGAAGTACCACATCAGCGACAGAATCCGCAACAACGTTGGGATCATCCGGCGAGAAGCAAACCCGCCCCCCAAGGGTAGGATGCAAAGAAAGACCGCATCCCATCCCAATCAGCTGACCTATAGTGCCAAACACGGCGGCAGCCTGCAGAATGCAACCGCGATTTCAGCGTGAGTGGCACCACACTCCGGACAAGACAATGATCCGAGGAGCCTAAAGGGGCGTCGACGGAAATCTGATATCCGTCCGGGTGAGAGGTCAGCAGAAGGTCCAACAGGGAAGGTGCATGATCCTCCACATCTGGAATCCGCGTAGGCGAAGTAACCAGTTGTGTCAGACCATATGCCAAGGCAAAATCACGAACAGATCTCCCCGCATGATCGGTTAAACGTGAACCGAGCCATTCGGCGTGATGGGCGTTGAAGTCGCCGAGGATCACGATCTCTGCGGAGGGGATCTGCTGTAGCAACGAATCTGCAGCCATTTGGACGTGGTCGAAGAGTCGGTCTGTTTCGGCATTACCGCTATGGGACCTATAGAGGCACCCGTAGACGCGCGGATGGTCGTCGCTGTCTACGCGTAGCCAAAGGATGGACAGGTCCGAACCTTCAAGTCTGCCGAGGCGTCGAGAACAGATGTCCTCTCTGACGTAAACGCAAACTCCAGCCCGAGGCACAAAGGAGTGTTCCAGTTTGTACCCCGGGCAGGAGAGATACGAGACATCAGCCGGAGAGGACACCTGCGTCTCGGTCAGAAAGAGCAGAGCCGGCCTCGCCGTCTCGAGATGGTAGTGGACGGCGTTTAGGTTAGAGTGAAGTCCCCTGATATTGCAGAAATTCACGGACAGCGTGGCAGGGGTCGCCTTGGTCTTGTTGCTCCGTTTGCCCCGAGCAGTTTTAGTCTTGAGCGGAATATTGCCCCCCCCAGAATACGCGGGGCAGCCTGAGCACCCACGCTCAGAAGTGGAGAAACATGGTCGTGGATGCTCAGCGAGGGATTCTCCAGGGGTGCTGGTACCCTCCTGGGGTAGTCTAGCATTTAATTCCGCTCCCATGTTGATGGGGGGGGGGGGATTTGGGCCTCCGGCCACCTGCACTCACCAGACGAAACGCGGAAGCAGAGCTTCCACTTCACGCCGGTATTCTGTGAGGTCGTGGTACCACCCCGGTTTGAGCCGGCCCATACGTGCGACAGCAAAGCTGCCGCGTGGCTCTACCACTGATAAAACAACACAAACAGAAATAAAATATTAACTTAATATGACACAGTATTTATTACACTAGTATTTATGACACAATTATTTAACATTAATACTTCAATTAAAATTATTACTACTAATGCATAGCAACAATTATCTAAGAATAAAAGTGAATTTTGCCTGTCATCAGGAAGCAGTGATAGCTCAGTGGTTCAGACCTCTGTCTCATCAGGAGGTCGCAGGTTCGAATCTCGCGCATGCACCTCTGCCTTTTTGGAGCTATGTGCGTTTTAGGAAACTAGAGCGTTATAGAGAGGGTAACGGTGAAGGAAAACATCGTAAGAAAACCTGCATGTAAGCCCGCCAACCCGCACTTAGTAAAACTAACTTATGCATATAACACTAAAATATTAGTACTACCAATAGGTCCTTGGGCTGTAATGACTAGTTCGCTAGATAGTGGTCTGGGCCGTAGGAGTTTAGGTCGTGTCAGTTTTTTTCTCTAGCGTAGGTTTTATTTTTGTGTTTAAATCTTTGTTTTTGATATTTTTCAGTACTTTGTTGTTTGCTTTAACCAATTTAGCTTTCGGTTCTTTCTTTACAGGAGTGCTGGTAAGCACCTCAGACTTCTGAATTTTTCTCTTGCGAGTCCCCAAGGGAACATAGGGACTTAGGAGCGGTTTTATTTCTTTTGGACTCAAATAAGGAGTAGGACCAATAGAAGCCTGTAGTATTGTTTCGTTGGTATAGTATGTGAGTGGATCTTCTTCATTTAGTATGTTTGAACGCAGGGTGGAATGAATCTTAGAGACCAAGGCACTGTTTTGTTCTGTTTGCATTTTGAACTGCTAGATTCCCGTGCCCGGAAGAAATTTCTAAAATATCAGGAGTGCATGACCTTGGTCTTTTTGAGTCACAGATTTCTACAGTAATACTTTTTATTTCGTGTGGTTCTCTTATTATAGGCCGCGCAGATGGAGAATAGATCTGAAAATGGCGGCGGGTACACATGGTACGGTTGGCAAAACAAGTTCGTCAAATATCGATTTTTATTTTTTTATTGACTTTTTGTTATAAATTATTCTTTTTGTTATTATTAATTAATAGTAGTAGAAATAATGTCGAAAATATTAATAAAATAAATAAGGAGCAAGGGTACATATGACACTGGATTTTAAAATTTGTCTCTATTAATTGTTACATATCAGAATTATATTACAAAAATGCTACCTCACATACATACTAAAGTCACGTCCTTATCTCTTAGGCCAGTAAAGTAAAGGCGGAACTACATTAGACCGACGCACACGTCTGAGACGTCGCCGACGTGTGTGATAGGTGTGCATACTAGACCGACGCCGCCGACGCGTACGCGTGTTTTGTCCGATCATTTCACGCTGGTTTTTGAACAAGACAGGCGGTACCTGCCTAGTTGAATGATTATTAGTTCTCTATAAGACACAAGAAAAGGATTTAGTTTAAAAATGTACGAATCAGAAAGAGAATTTGAAGTAAATTTAATTTATTTTTATGGCTTTGAAACGACCAACAGGGGAGAAAATGTTTTATATGAATGTTTTATAAACCGCTTGGTCCAGCAGTATCCTGGTCATCTGAACCCATAATTGGTTCAATTCCCTCCATCAATTGATTATAATCCTCCATGGACTGGTCACTTTCACAGTCCTGGTCTTCATAGTCGTCACTTTCATCTTCGCTGTCGCTGTTCATACCGAAACTGATAATGAAGTCCACAATTTCACTCTCCCTAACTACATCGCGATTACAGTATTCCTCTCCGACACTTTTGATGTCGTTTACTTGTTTCTTCCAGTGGTTTCGAATAATTGAAGCTATGGCTTTTTTTGTGAACTCCTCAATTTTATTTTCGTGTTGCTCCACATTTTTATCTGCGACCCGTTGTTTTATTAAATTCCAAACATGTTCTATCGGATTCAGGTCGCAGTTGTAAGGAGGGAGTCTGAGGACTTCATGGCCATGTTCACGCAGAAGTTCGTCCACCAAATACTTTTTCTCTGGGCGATGCTTTTTTAGCTGCATGAGCAGGTCTGCTTTGGTCCAGACTTCTTCAAATAAGACACCGTGCTCCCGCATCCATATCTTTATGCCCGCTTTGCGGGTTGCAGTCGTTGGCGCTTTATCCAACTGCATACTGTGGTAGGATGCATTATCCATGACAAGAATGGAGTTTTCAGGCAGATTTGGTATTAGTTTTTCTTTTAAATAATTCGTTAAGTTATTACCATCCATCTCGTCACGGTAGTGGACTTTTTTGATTTAGCTTTAAATAATAATCCTGCACCATCCAAAAACCCATCCTCTGAGCCAGCATGAACCATCACCCACCTTTGTCCAGGACTATCATTTTTGCGAACGCCTTTTTCGGTGGATGACTGCCAGCACTTGCTGACAGTATAATGGGTATGGTTCCACGACTCATCCATATATACTACTTTCTTTATTTCCGCACCCATGGCATCATTTTGTCGGAGGCGGCGTAAATATTTAACTCGCCACGCTTTTATATAATCGCGCTCTATGAGCACCATTCGGTTCTGGCGGCATTTTTTAAATTTAAATACGAGCTTTTCTTTTAAAATCTTTCTTAATGTCGTTTTGGAGACTTTATAGTTTAATTCAGCTTTTGCTGACGCTAGAATCATGTTCTTTCGAACGTCGTATATTGAGGCCACAATATTTCTAATGGCACATATATCGAAGTTGTCCATGGGGACACGCGTATTATTTTTGCCTTTGCTGCCCTTACTCGGCGTACAAAGCTTGGTGCTGGTTTGTTCTGCAAGCACCTGCACCTGAAATAAGAGTAAAATATTACTATTACTGTCAGTTATCGTTATAGAGCGACACTGAACTTAGTCATACTCGCTGCCAAAAGGACTCGTTTCCAGGCCGTGGCCAGGCGCGTGTGGCTTTGCGCCCTCCTTTCTGCCAAGGAGGGTCGCGTCCGTATACGGCTTAAGCGGGCTACATACGAGACGATATCGGTGGCGATCTAGGGTGGAAAGAAATCGGGGCTTTTATCGGGGCAGACCCTACACACGGGCCTGCCTAGCAGTACGCGTTCGAACTTGGAACGGAACGCATATGCGGTAAAGTTCTTCAAAATGCCTCCGACTCTCTTGAAACACCAACGTGTTGGATTGGCATTAGCCATCTCGGTTAATTTATTCGAAAATAGAAAAAGAGGAGTTGCTGGGTGAAAAAATGGCACCAAAAGAGACAAAAATTAAGCCAAATAAACGTACTAAATAGTCTGTAATCCAAAGACATGATTAATTTTCTCCGGATGGATGAAGGCAGTTTTTACAACCTTTTTCTATATTTATGATTTCGCAACTTATATAAAAACATCAATTTCTCCTACCTATGCTATTTAGTTATTTCTTCTGTTTGTTAATTTCTGCTTTGGTCAAAATCGGGTTATTTACTACACACAACAAACAAAGAAATAAAATACTTTTGTATAATAATATGTATACTTTTTTTAATGTAATCTTTTTTATTTATGGATTAAAACTATCAAAAAAATAAAATAGCTTATATCTTTTTTTTTAAACATAAAGAAACCTTTAATTTCGGACATACTCCCTTCTATATAGCTTGTTTGTTGATGTGGAGATGGTGAAGGAGTAGGAGTTAGTTGTTGATGAGAGGATGAAGGAACGTAAGAGATATGAGTGCAGTCTGCGTGATGATAGCGTTGGAATGGGAGTTAGTTGTTGAAGAGAGACTTTATCCTCTCCTTACTTACTTCATACACCCTACTTTATGAACGGTAATAACACAATTAGTTTAGTAGGCATTCTTGACTTCGCGAGGTCACAGGCTAGGGTGGATATGATTTGAATTTCGATAAATTTAAATTAATTTATTCATTCAATTTTTTTTTTTGTTTTTTGTAAAATATCAGTACCATAGGCTTCTACTCCGTTCACATGTTTAAAATGTAAAAATTTTGTTATGTAAAAAAGGTCATTCAGTATCATTGTTCCGTTAACGTCCTTCCGCGAGGGCTGCCGACAGCGACTGCCAAAAGAAATCGGGCCGATGACACACGCAGTACGGAGGGGGCGGGGCCCCGATCTAGGAAGCATCGGCTGCATTTTTGCTCTTGCTAGCCGATTAAGGAGGCGACATCGGCCACCACTTAGGATGGCCCTACATACGACACGATTTAGAGGCAATCTAGGAGGCATCCCCACTACTCCACCCTAGATCGCCACTGATATCATGTCGTATGTAGCCCGCTTTAGAGATCTCTATTTAGACCGTTAAGCCAGTCCCTAAAAGGTGGGGTTTAGTGGGTAAAAGTCTCCACATAACCACGCAGTCGGCTGCTATGAGCTAGGGGTATGAGGTATGCTATGAGAATTCCCCACCTCCCTCCCCCGCTTTCCAGAGGGTTTCCCATATTTGCTTCGGCCGCATTATACTTTAACGGATGATAACGCTGCAAGTTCTTCTCTTCGTCAAAGTATTTTATAACGTTGTAAACAATGTCACGTGCATCACTGTGAAGAATCTTTTCACTTTTCTAAGCCATTGTTCAATCAATCACAAAATGTCAACGTTCGTAATAAAAACTTAACGAAAATAAATAACAATCAAACGTAACGCAAACAAATAACAATCAAACTCAACAAAAATAACAATGAATATCAACGAAAAAAAAAATAACGGAACGAATTTTTAACGATAACTCGGAGTGCGTCAAGTAGCGTGGAAAGCGAATCTTGACTGACTATTTTTTTGTAGCACGTATTTCACTGTGTAAGTATAGACAGCGATAGAGAGTGAGCGAGAACGCATGCGAGCTGACGCCATTTTCAGATCTATTCTCTATCTGCGCGGCTTAGAAGGCGTTGTCAAATGAGTAATATCGGGTAAATGGACTATATAGGCATAAAATTCGAATGCTCAGTAGATGTGATTCCCTTTTCAGGAGTAAAATACCTAGGGCTAGGAAGGATGCTTTTGAGAGTATCTTCTTCATGTAGTTCCGAAATAATTGATGGCGATACACCTCAATGATTGATGGATTCAGGACAAAACACAGACTCTTTTCACAAATCAATCTTTTTTATCATTGCCATGTGAACTTGATCGTCGTCACATCACGTCACGAAAAATTTTCCAGGTGGATCCGCTGATGGTCGATGCATGGCATGCATACGCGGCCCATCTCCTTTATCTTTCTGTAAATTTTTGGACCTACTAGGAAAACTGCGTTATAGAAGTTCTCATTCCTATTGTTATGCTTGAATCTGAGCGATAAATTGTTGATGTCGATGCTGTCGTTCGCAATCTCCGCTATCTCTGTATTTTGGTGGCGTATGATTTTTACTAGGTCCTCAGCTGGCACGTCTTTAGGTACCCCTTTGAGGATCCCCATGGGTCTCAGGCTTCACACAGGCTCGCCCTTGACCTCATTGGATATCTAGCCGAGAGAGTGTGTCGTCGCGTTGTTGCTGATAGTCAAATTCGATACGTAGCTTATTATTGGAGACACGTTGGATGCGGGCTGGTGCGTTAGTTGACTCCCTGTAACTGATGCTGGTTTTAAATTTCTTGATCACCTCTTCCGGTGTCTTCGACTGTACGGTTGAGCTGACTATAATGGCTGGTTTGGTCACCAAGGGGATGAAAGGTGGAGAGGTCTTGTTAATCGCATGAGTCCTGTCACCACAAGTGGCAGCAGCTGCTAGGGCGTAAGATGGTCGCGCTTATGAGGCAGTCACCATCTTTTTAAAGTCTGACATTTCTTTTTTCACGCATGAGAGTAACTCCTCCTTTATTTATCCTAGTGCAAATGGGGTTGGTGACACAATAACGGTGTTTAGGTTGCGGGTGGAGCGTCTTATCTCTTCCATGGGCAGATTGATGAGCTTCTTATTGGCCGCGGAAACGCTCTTTACCTCGCTGATAGCAGTGTTTACGCAGATGGTTAGTTTGTTCATTACGAGCATGAACGAGTCAAGTCCTTGACTTCCACGGCCGAAGCCGGGAGGGTAGGGGGGTCGCTCTGTGACGCAGGCGTGTTTAAACAATATCTTATAATCTAAATATTCAATGTTTATACAATGTTATGTAAGTCATTCTAAAAATAGCTACTCTCAAAACCAATTTAACACAGAATTGAGTCAATGTACAATGTTCACAAAAAAATCACCAAAAATAAAGTTATGATTCAAAAAAATTTAAATTTTACAAAAAGTTAGTTTATTAGTTAGGTCACTAGATGCACTAAAATTTTGGGGGAGTCATCACACGTGTTTTTTGGTTTTTTGCCTATAACTTCTGAACCCGTGCACCGTAAAATCTAGGATTTTGGGGGATGAAGCGTCTAAATTTACCGCACTTGTAGTACTAAAAATGATATAGAGTTATAGCGAGTGGGGGAGAGTGCCGCACGCCAAATACTGTTTTGAAGGTTAGCAAATTTTGATTTTTAGAACGCGGTGCGACTCAGTTTCGCTGCTTACAGCTCGGCATTCCCGCCAAGGTCTTGGGTCTAATATTATTGTTCATTGCTGTAGTCGCACCATCTTGATTAATTGTCTTCGGAAAAGTTGTTTCTGGATTTGTGATATTACGAGCAGTCATCGTTGTTGAGGATGGTGCAAAATCTTTTTCCTCCCATAAATCTAAATTGGTTGGCCAAATCCCAGTGGATTTAAACACTTTGATGGCGTAGTTGAGAGTGGCACATTTGAGATATGCTGGCGCAAATAATCTGGCCACATTATATTGATTGACTATTTTCCCCGGACTGCTTGCGTCTTTAAGTCTGCGAAATTATTCAAGATCGTCCCCACCATTACATTAGATTTGATAAACCACAAATCCTCGCAAAAGAACACTGATTCCTACCAAGGATGATACGCGAGGCTATTGAAATCTAAAACATCCAAATTTCAATAGAGAAGATGGATGGGTGCTGCCATCTGCTCGGGATCCTATAATTAACAAAATTAAACCCAAACCCAAGTATACCACTGCAAGATTTCATGATACTATAAGCTCGTTTTGCGTAAACTACTTATAGTATCATGAAGTCTTGCAGTGTTCTTGCGTAAAACTGAAGGTAGCCGGACTAACTATGATATTGGGACGTCAAACATCTCAGTCCCCCGTGACAATGGGTGCTGTAAAGCACCCGAAATGTCGGGATAATAAAAATAAATTAAAGTAGTAATTAAACGCGATTAAATTCGTAAATAATTTGAAGACAGTGCTTTATTAATCCTAATTTTGATACATTTATGTAACTTTATTCATATAAGTCACCGTATTTAAATGTATTATTTTTACCAATTATGTTATTTTTAAGTCTCATATAAGTGAATATTTGTTCTTTTTTGAGATAATAAACTCTTTAAACCTAAACTTAAATAATAGATTTATTCAATGAGTAGTGTTCGCGTAAATTTAAGAAATCATTACTGCAACCACTGCACCATACACAGCAACGTCCAGAGGTTGCAGTTTATTTGAGGTGTGAGGTGTCAAAGACAAGATGACAACATTATTTTGGTTTGCGTAGGTACTCCAGAAAAGGATAACGTTTGTGACTTTCGTGTTAGTCTAGTAGCAAAAGAACTTTCATCAGCAGCCGGCCGAACGTGGCCAACAAAAAACTTGAGCCACTCCAAGAATATTTCTCCAGTTACCCGACGTGAAGATTTTTTTTCTGTTTGGTTATTTAGAAACTCATAAAATCTTTCCACTTGCGGACGGTTAAAGCCTCTCGCTATCGACGTAGCTTCTGGCTAGATATATATATATATAGTGATTTGTGGATTTCTGCTCATAAATCCTATCAGCCAATCATCACCAGCCTTTTCATTCTTGTCCCAACTTTGTGGATACGTGAGATTGTTCTTTTTTGCATATACGTAAACGAGCGCATTAAAGTCCTCACGCGTTAATTCGTAAAAATGCTGTCCATCTCTTGCAAATATATTTAGAGCTCGCCCTCTTGTTTGTCACTGAATACTTTTCTAAATCTTCCAAGTTGAGCGGTCGAACATCCTTTTTTCCAGTGCCTATACAAAGTAGCATAAGGCAGGCTTTATTTTCTTTCCTTCGTTTTCACTGGAATACCAGCATTACAGTCTGCTATTGCAATCATCATTACGTCCTCACTCCATTTGGCTTGATTTGTTTTTCTTTTATGTTTGTAAACCATCTACAACAATATAAACGAAAATATTAATAAAATTAGTAATTCGGATACTACTGGGCAAATTGGATACCGTATAAGCCCCGCACGTTGATATTGCGACTGGCGACCATCTTAGTGACGTAGTCGAATGGTCAGTACCGTTCGCAAGGTCAGCCAGCGCTTACGCGTATGGAGTACCTCTAACCACGTGTTTTCATAGCTTTTTATGTTCGTTATCCTGTTTTATTTTTGTTGTTAATTTTTTTTATTGTTATCATACTTATTCTGTTACAATGAGTAAGAAAGTAATTAACAGCCGTGCTCGTGAAATGATTATTAAAGTGGACAGTTATTTTGTAAAGGAGAAGGAAAATATTTATAATTAAATACCTATAAATATATGTATGTAATATAATATAAATACTTATAACCCAAGGTTATTAACATTTTTCACCAGAGATGGCAACACCTCACACGCAAAGAATATTAAAGATTTTGTTGTTTGTAATTTTTTGCGGTTGGTGACGTCACGCGACTGTTATTGTGACAAGGTTCCATCGCAATATCAACGTGCGGGGCTTATATTCACTTTGCCCAATAATTACTTTTTGAATTTAATCTAACATAAAATCAAATTTACATTTACATTTACATGAAAACATACACTTTGAAGACATAATCAAGTTTAAACAATAACACCGTATGCTCATGAGTAGTAATGAAAATACGTACCTTGAAATATCGTAACAACTTTTTTATATTGGGTCAATAGGGGTAAATGCAAACCTCATCACTCAAACTCCATCTTCATTGTCGTAATACTTTTGATTAAATAACTCCACAGTTATATCATTTATTGGGGTTAATTAAGCGTTTATTAAATAACTATTGCAAACAGAAATAAATTATAACATTTAAAGCTAAGTATTTTTAAAATATTTTTTAAGAAAAGTGGGTACCGTTATTACATTTCCCCAGTCAAAAGGGGCAAATGTAATAGCGATGTGGGATTTATCTACAGATGAAATCTAAAAGAATTGGGGGTAATTGCAAGAAAATTCAAAATTGGCTCTACTATTTGGTTTTTATTTGAAGAAAATAGGATAACAAATTAGAGAGATATGAATTTTTCTTAAAATTAAATACATACTAATTAAACAATCGATAAATTTTTGAAATCATAATCAAAGATTATAAGGCCCCGTTTCGTCAATTTTGGGGTAGGTAAAATTTAAATTATACAATCTGTATCAATTAAGTCAAAATCTTGAACCTCCGGCCATATGAAAGCTTTTTTGCCCCGTCTTACATATTGAACTTCCCAGCAATCGTCGATTTTGTCTTTTATGATACCTACATAATATTTATTTGACCTCTTTAAGGAGTATTTCACTATCACCCATTTGCCTGTATGTAAAGATATATCTAAATCATTCTTCCTGATGCTGTTTAAATTTCCCTCATCTAAATTTTCTTTGTCTGAATTTTCTTCAATATCCATCGGATCTTTTTGCTCTAGTAATTGTAGTTCTTCCCCCCGCAAAAGGTAATATATCATCTTCTCTAGAACACAGCGGATCATTTCCTTGCAAGTATTCAGGAAAATAACTTTCTCCCGACTCAGCATAAGAAATTTCCGATTCCAAATCTGTACTATCGCTGTCTGCTCTTTTTTTATTTTTCTTTTCTTTATTTGTCTTTCTTTTGGCTTTTTTGATCTTAGTTTTCTTCTCTTCTGCATCTTTTAGTAGAACTTCAAGAATTTCATGAGAAGTAATGACCTGAGCGCCTGATGCAACTTTCCGTTTCCTTTCCTTCGGTGGTAAACGTTTTTGATGGATAGTAGATAGAATTATGCCTTCTATTGAAGTGTGTTCTAAGTTGCTTTTGTCAGATTTTCGTTGGCTTTCATCAGTCATCGATGAAATCGAAGAAACTTGCAAATTATCTCTGTTTTCCAGGGCTTCTTCCGAGAAATTCTCTCGAGAAGACGAGATCGAAGGAAGGCTACATGCTGATGGCATAGGATTGGCCATTACTTGCGAGATTTCCCAGCGTTCCAGGGATTCTTTGGAAAAATGATCTCTAGGAATTATGTTGGGGTTAAAAGGATAAATTCCAGCCTTGCTAAACCCATTGGCTATACAACTTTCGGAAACTTTAATCCAAGTTTCCCCTAAATATTGAGAGAATAAAGATTTAGGCAATCTCTGCCCAATATGCTGCCGTTGCCATTTTGTTACTGTTTGATCCCAATTTTCTTTAAAGGATTTAAAGACAGAAACATCCAATGGCTGCAGACGATGGCTGGTGTGCGCTGGAATTTTAAGAATAGTTATGTCATTGGCCATCGCTGTTTCCACAAGATCAACAGAAAAATGTGTGGCATGACCGTCATATAGCACTAACATAGGTCGTTCACTGCCAAGAGCTGGAATAAGGGTCTTCTTGAAATAGTTAGTGAAAATCTCTGTTTCCATCCAACCATTCGGGCTCGCGGCGTAAGCCGTCCCTGGAAATTCTTTGCCTGTAGGTGCTCGCCATTGGTCCCACATATTTTTACCTTTAAAGATAATTAATGGTGGAATCCTATGACCAACGGCATTGGCGGCTAAAACAAAAGTTGTGTTTTCTTTCCCTGTAGTGCTGATTACTCTAGACACACTTCGGCCTTTTTCTCCGACAACTTTTGTTCTTGCTGGGTCAATACTTAAGCTACTTTCGTCAAGGTTCCATATGTTTTGGGGCTTATCTTTTAACTTTAAGTCAGTGAGAGTTCTTTCAAGAAGATCGAAATATCCAAAAATTATGAAGGGGTCAGTTACAGCTTTTTTTCTGGAGTATTCCATAGGCTCAGGCTTCCGGATCGATAAAAGATGGCGTCTTTTAAATCCTAGGAACCAGTCCTCACCTGGAACGCCATCTTTGAAAGGTGTTTTTAAATTGTTTATTTTAACATATTGTCCTACCAATTCCATGATCTCTTTTCTGCTTAGGCCGAAGCCCCACTTAGCCAACGTTTTTACTGAGGTAGCTAGAGTGTTTTCTACATTTTCAGGGAGAACAGTTGTCCGGCCTTTCGAATTTTTTATTAATCCTCTCGTACCCTTATAACGGCAGTATAGCGTTGAAAATGGTATTTTATATACTTTGGAAGCTCTGTTAACTGTCATAGTATGAGCTCTTATCTCACTAAGAGCTCTCTCTAGTTTTTCTTCCGTGTAATTAGGTTCTCCAATCTTTTTTTTTACATAATGCCGTACCATCTGCAACAAACAACACAAAAGGGGTAAATGCAATGGGTTATTACATTTACCCCTTTCGAGGTTAATGCATTAGCCCCGATCTGCTATTTTTGAGGGGCAAATGTAATACCTACCTCAAAGTTTACACTTTTAGTCATTTTGCTAAAATACTGATATAAAACGGCTAAGAATATGTTAAATAACTACACTTGTAAAAAAAAAGCTTAAAATTTTACCTTGCTTGAACGGATTAATGTCGATTTATTTATCGTAGTCCAATTTGTCCTTTAAGAAATAAGCGAACGTCGTCATGTATGAAATGTCACATGACGCCGTGTCGATAAAACAGTATTTGGAAGTGCTTGGCTTACCGTCGAAATAGTACACTACAAGTTCCAGAGATGACAGCACCAGCAAAGCAACATAGATCAAAATGTAGACGCTTATTACTTTTACCCCGTTTTTACATTTACCCCTACTGACTTTTTATTTCTTTCTCAAACGACGCGCGACCGCGCGCTAACTCTAACCGTTTTGCCACGACTTCCAGTAGTCTAAGCCAAGATCCATAGGAACAAAGTCAGTAGTGAGACACTGCCTTACTTTATTTATTTTTCTCCCAACAGTTCGCTCGGATATATTAAAAATTGAAGCGATTCTATTATTCGGCTAGCGTGTTCGAATTTTACACAAGTAGATAGCCAAGTCATTTCGTGGAGTTTTTGAGGACCGATTAAGGCTTGGTATTTGATTCAGCAAATCGTTGAGTGTAGCTCGTTTCTTCCAGTCCAAAAGCTTAACTCCTCATCAGAAACGTCATCTACATTGGAGTGTGACCTTTGTTCTAAAGCTTGTGTATATGACCAACGAGGCAGGATTGCCTCGTTGATCTAGTGGTTGTAGTAGTGCGATTGCTGATCATGAGGTCCTGGGTTCGAATCCCGGGTCGAGCCAAAAATCTATTATTGAGTTTTTCTGTCAAAAAATTCTCAGTAGCTGCCCGGAGTCAGGAAGTTGGCGGTGTCTCACCCCCGTGCCTCGGAAAGCACGTAAAGCCGTTGGTCCTGCGCCTGATCTCTCTCCGGTCGTGTCGGTTTACCGTCCCATCGGATTATGAGAGTGAGGGAATAGAGAGTGCACCTGTGCTTGCGCGTGCACTTGGGCACTATAATCCTGTCCTCGCCGATGTCTAGCCTCCGTTGAGGCAGGTCGCCGTGGCCGAAATTCGGTCTGGAGGACATTATTATATGTCGCAGGCTTATTGCATAAAACAGAGCCGTTTTGTATTACGGCTGGCGAACGATAAGCCTGATTGATGTATTGAAATATGGCGGCCGACGTTCAGTCATATTGTATGTTCAATTTGCATTGTAGAGTAAATTTAACAGTTTCACTGCCCGTCAAGATGAGTGAACAAAGTGCACATAGTCTACGAAATTTTATGTTTTGCCCGGTTTTGAAACTATTAAGTAATACTAATTATCTGTATATATGTATAGACTGCTCATATTAATTTAGTGTATATAAAAACGAGAAAAAAAAATCCGCACAGATGCATAAAGTGCTCCCGGAATGAAAATTTCATCCTTAGAGCCTTTTACGCACAGGTGCAAAGAGTAATATTTTGGTATTTATCATTTATTAATAATAGAAAAAATCAAAAAATCAATTTCCAATCTCCCTGTGATAGTTGTCAAACATTCGACACAAAGTCCGGGTTTATTCTCGCATGTTATGCAGCGCCACGGGGAATCGGTACGCTTCTTATTTTTGTAGCATTGACGGCAAATCTTTCTCTGTACGACTTGCCTTTTTTGTCAAGTCCGTGATTTTTGCAATCCGATGCTGTGATGATGATCCACCTGCTGTTGAAATTGGCAGCGGTTCGGATGGTTTTTGTGGAGCAAGGAATTTATTACTCTTATACGATAATCATACAGATTCAGTTTCTTTTGACCTGAATATTTTTGATATATTTTATATGAGTTGATGAATAACATCCGAAATATATGTACGGCAATATTCATGTACTAGCGAAGTCTGGTCTTGCCTATCTACTCCAGACATGTATGTATTGTATTTAGCTATACTTTCAGGTTTCTGAGTAATCTGTCTCCGTCTGTTGGTAATTGGCACCATATTATTAGCATACTGATTGGTTATGTACGTAACCGGGCGTTTATTTTTCCATTTTCCTATCGGAATTCCGTCTCGAAACATTCATATGTTTTCGCCCTTTTCCAATACCTTTTGTGTCACTTCTTTAGGATTGTCTCGTAAGTCTTTACGTAAAGTACCGATACAGTATGTATTTTTCTCGAGCAGCTTCTTTGCCAGTATATAACTATTATAATAATTTTCCATATACACTTCATCTCCATTTCCCAGTTTTTCTTCTAGAAGATGCATGACAACTTTCGCCGCATGTCCATTTCCAGTAATCTATGCATCTTTACCACCGACATATACACGAAACTTTATAATCATTCCATCGGGTTCAGTGAGCATATATAACTTGATTCCATATATGGCGTTTGTTTTTTGTATACTATTTGAAGCTGAGACGTCCTCGCCATAGCACCATGCTCTCATCTAGCGATAATTCCTTTCCAAGATAGAAGCAACTATTAATTTTGGTATTGAAATAATCAATCACTTGGCGTACTTTGAACAAGGGACTCACTTTCTGTTTCTGAGGTAAAATGCATACATCTTATAATTAGAAGGAATCTGTTTCTACCCATTTGCTGTCCGAATGTAGGAAAGTTAAAAAGCCTGTCCTTCTTCCAGTAATCTTGTATTCTATTCATAGAAACAGTTCCCATGTGAAACAGTAAACCAAAAAAAGATTTTAGCTCTATGCCAGTGAGCTTTTTCCACCGGGTTATCCTAGCATATTCAGACCTAGTCGACAAAAACAACCTTTTTGCTTGCGTTGGAAATCATAGTAAGAAACTGAATAAGTAAAAAAAATCAGTTGGCTCTGTTCCATTGAGTTCTTCAAGAAACTGATTAGTTTTAGTAAAATTAAATTGCCTCATATCACATTCAGAAGTCTAGTGAGAAGTAGACTCTTCAGCGGAGGATCTATCGGGTGCCTGATCATCTTGATGGTGACGACCGTGGCAGTTCTTTTACGGAGCTACATAAACTGATATCAATAACAGGAAATGAAGCAGGCGGCTGACAATCATCCTCCGACGATAACTCCTCCTCATCATAATCAGGACAATAAATATCATCACTGTCACTTTCGGCGAATAATTATCTGTCGTTTTCGGTATAATTCATTACATAATTCTTTTTTCTAGTACGTGAAGGACTCGCAAAACTATCCAATAACGCGCAGGTATAAACCAAACAATAACAGGTAATACAAAACCGTTTTTACGTAAAAAATCGCCGGAAATTCACCCGCAAGGCCAACCTACAAACGACGCTCTACGCGCAAAGCCCGCGGCGTACTGGCAGTGTTGCAAGTACGCCGCGGGCCTGCCTCTTTAAAGAAAACACGCTGAATTGACTTCAAAAAATATCCAAATCTAGCGCAGATTTGGATATTTTTGCAAAAAAAGCGCTAAATTAGAAAATAAAATAAAAATGTAGGTAATTATTATTTTTAATTAAACTTTTCACAAAGACAAAATTTATTTTCAAATTTAATAGCCAGCCTTCTTTATCGTCAGAATCTTGTTTCTTTTTGAACAATTTCCTGGCTTTTTTGCTGAGTTTGTATGAGAATTTTTTTGGCAGTTTGAATGTATAGACATCTTTGCTGTTTATTTTTTATGACTTCTTTTGGAACATCATTATCTTTTAAAACAAGACAATTTAAAAATTTTCAAGTTCTATACAGTTCTAATATATAAAATTGAATTGAGTGTATAAGATTCATACGGTTTCGTAACTTTGATTTAATTACGTTCATCTGACTGAAAATCCTTCGACGTCAGCGTTCGAGTAGGGTAAAACCAGAACAAGTAAGGCAAAATTTGCCAAGTCTTGAAATGCATTGTTACCACCAGCATCTTTGTACTCCTTAACTTCCGTCCAAAATTGTATGGTGCCATTTGTAAAGCTCCATGTCTCAGATACTGTATTCCACCACTGACCAACAATTGTATCTATCTCATCTGAAAATACTATATTTCAGCTAATTGAATGATTTTCAACCCTTTGTTCGTCTTTAAAGTTTCAGTGACACTAATTATATTTATTTTTTTAATATGTAAACATTCTTTGGGAGTCTCTCTTGTAACTCTTTTATTAATTTTACAGTAAAGTTAACACATCTTTTACGTATATTGCTTTCCAAGTCAGAGAACGGTTCCAATGATTTTTCAAAATTGTAATTGCGATATGGTACTGGGTCTAAATAGTCTTCAATATTATTCACTGTTAAAATGTCGATAGAATGTTGTCTTGTTAAAAGGACGACTTTACTACCTAAGGATTCCAAAAGATTTATTAAAGCATCTAAAAGTCTGGTTACGTCAGTATTTTCCCCCTCAAAAGCTGTAAGCGCAAGCTGTATTTCAGTTAGTACGTTTTTAATGTAAATCAAATATACTTTATTTCTATTATCCATTGTACATTTCGTACAGTAATTGAGCAGTATAACAATTATTTATTGATATTGAAATTTGAAAAAATAATTTCAATTCTTCTCATTGGTTTAAGATTCGTTGTACCGCAGGTTCACATCATCGATAACCATCTGGTTGCACGATTTTCAATATTTTAAAGGTTGCTTACCGCAATTAAGGGTTTCAATTTTTTTTTAATATTCCTGACGACGCTGCGGTGAGAACGAAAATCAATTATATAATAAAAGTTCTATGTTGCGAGGTATAGTTTCTTCTGAAGCATGTGCAACAGCCAATTGCAACGAATGGCATATACATCTTACTAAAACCAGATGGGGCAAATTAAATTCCTGTTTTAAAATTGTATGAACGCCATTGTTTAAGCCTGTCATTACACTTGTGTTGTCAGTCCCAAGACCGATAAAGTTTTTTTAAATACAGCCCCATGTCTTTCACCGCATTTACTAATGCATTTACTATGCCTCTCGCGTTGTTGGTTTATAGTTCGATTAATGCAAAAAAAAAATTATACAATACTACGTTTTTTGAACTCTAGTATCTTATGACAATTCCCAAATACTTATGTACCCTTATATTCGATGATTCGTCTATAATCAAATTGAATTTACTATTACCAATATCTGTTACAAAAGTTGTTTTGAAATGAGGTCCTTTTGGGACCAATTCTTATAATTTCGGAACATTTTGTGCTGTGTCGTTTTTCAGTCACCATTTTATTTTCGTCTTCCGTATTCTCTACAATTGAATCAATATCATCAATCCATTCGCTGTCATCAATTTCTAAGTCGGTGTCGTCTGACTTTGTAGACTTCGAGCATAGTGCTCCCAACAACTACCGGCATAGGTGTGACATGGACATTAAACATAATCTTTGTTTTGTCCATGTTCATCTTAAGACCTATCCGTTGGGAGGCACTATTGAGGTCATTGGGCATAGTGCTTAAGTCCTCCAGCGATTCTGCCATAAGGACTATATCGTCGGCAAATCGAAGGTGAGTGATGTTCTCGCCATTGATGTTAATACCGTATCCTTTCCAGTCCAGTAGCTTGAAAAGGTCTTCCAATGTCCGCTGCATTGAAGAGTTTCGGGAATATAACATCACCCTGTCTTACACCTCTCTGCAGTTGGATAGGTTTCGAGCTCTGGTTCTGTACTCGGATCGCCATCGTAGCCCTACTGTACAAACACTTCAGCACTTCAATATACCGACAGTCAACTTGGCACCGCTGAAGGGACTGTAGCACCGCCCAAATTTCGACGGAATCAAAGGCTTTCTCATAGTCCACATACGCCAGGCAAAGTGGCAGATTGTACTCTTCAGTCTTCTGTACAATCTGCCGCAAGGTATGCATGTGGTCTATGGTACTGAAGCCTTTTCGGAAACCGTCGTGTTCGGGAGGCTGGAAGTCGTCGAGTCTGCGTGCGAGACGATTCGTAATGACTCTCGAAAACAGCACGTAGACGCGGCTCAGAAGGGAAATCGGTCTGTAATTTTCCAAGAGAGCGTTGTTGCCTTTCTTAAAGAACAAGATCACCGCACTTCTGCTCCACGCCTCTGGAGTAGTGCCACCATGGAGGACGGAATTGAAGAGCTTTTGAAGGACTTCAAGTACCGGTGTTCCACCCGCTTTCAGAAGCTCCGCTGTAATTCCATCCTCGCCTGGGGCCCTGCCGTATTTAAAGTGCTGGAGAGCCATTCTAATCTCGCTTAGACTGACGTCCGGGATATCATCGGAATAGTGTCGGATAAGACTTGCTCTTGGATCGTTACTCACACTTGCGTGTGGCTCCAACGATGATGTGTACAGCTGCCCATAGAACCTCTCAATCTCACTCAAAATCTCAGGTGTCCCGGAAACGATGCTGCCACACTCAGTCTTCAGCTTTGACAGTTGGCTCTTACTGGCAGACAGATCTCTAGCAAAGACTTTGGGAGCCCTGGTTCCGCTCGATCGCTTCTTTAATACGAGCAGTATTAAAGTTGCGTAAGTCTCGCCGCATGCATTTGGAGATCTGTCTGTTCAGTTGCCTGTATGCTGTCAAATCTGTTAACGATTGCAGCCTCATCTCCCGTCTAACAGCCATGAGATGAGTGTGATCAGAGAGTTTTTGTGTTCTTCTGCGGCGGGTCTTGCAGAACTTAGCTCCGACCGCATGGACAGTTTCCACGAGCTTTTCATTCATATCGTCCACTGCATTGCAATCTTGTAGGCACTGAAAGCGGTCACGTAACTCGAGCTGAAAGTTTTCGGGATTCTGGATTAGAGCACGAGGGGCCGGAGCGTTGACTTCATTAGACGAGACCTCTCCAACTTAACGTTTAGGTTCAGTGTGCCTCTAGCCATTCGGTGATCGCTGCCAGTTTTCACCCTTGCGATCACTGAGACATCACTGAACAGTTGGCGTCTGGTCGTCATAATGAAGTCAATCTCATTTTTTGTCGAATCGTCGGGGCTCGACCAGGTCCACTTCCTGTGGGGCCGCTTCTGGAAGAAAGAGTTCATCATAAAGAGTCCCTCTTTCTCCATAAAGTCGACCAGCTGCTGGCCCCTTCGGTTCCGTTGCCCTACTCCAAATTTCCCTAACTTCAGCTCACCGTTTTCTCTTGTGCCTAGTTTTGCGTTGAAGTCTCCCATCAACACCGTGGGTTTTGGAGGAATGCATGGCTTTGGAAATATTCTCATACATTTCCTCCACCTCCTCATCGGGATGTGCCGAGGTTGGTGCGTAAACCTGTATGACCTTCAGCGAATACCGTTTGGTGATTCTGAGTATCAGGTACGCGACCCTCGTCGACACAC